AAGTTCATATGAAAATAATCATGACTTCCTCTGTTATAACATCAGCATATGCATGTCGAAGTCATAAACTAACCTTTGCATGCTGAGTTGGCTAATGTACCACTATCACTTGCTAGAAATCATAAAAAGATGGCCAAGCACAAACATCACAAGGATTAGGTCTAACATTATTGACCAAAGACCACAACAGAAGTAGTAGCTACAAAAAACAGAGGCTGGTACTCTAGGAATCGCTATATCAAGTATCATGGGCTGCTCAGTCAGTTCCCATAAAACAAAATGAAATATTAGTATTAGTTTTTACAAGAGTAATATGGGCACTGGATATCACCATATTTAGAAGGTTCACCCTTAAATTCGACAGACTTGCTTAATCTCAAAAGTTAAATGAAACAGAGTAAGATAAAGTAATTACTCTGACACCTTTGCATGCTTGTCTTCAATAGCATGATGCCTATATAGGCAAGCTTCTTTTCCATCAGCCTCAGAATCATACTTTGTCAAGTCTTTTCCATCAGCATACTCACATAAAGCATTGTAGTTTCTAGTCTGCATACGTGAGACAACAAAACTATCAGCAGGTATAAATCATATCAGTCCGTCCCAAATTACCTATCGCAGAAATGGATGTATCTAGACGTATTTTTAGTTCTGGATACATCTATTTCTATCCATTTCTCCAACAAGTAATTTGGGACGGAGCGAGTATTAAATAAACCCACACTGTGTAACTTAGGAGGATATGAAAGCGTCCTCTGAAAGTAACGGCTGTTAAAAAAGGCAGGAAGCTATAAGTAGCATCTATACATTACAGCGATAATGTTTTGAACTATGTTTTGACTAGATAGATATGTGCAAAGCTGCAGCATACAAAATTGAACCATAAACAGACCAAGAAAATTGGAATTTGGTCATCCTCCCCCCATGACCATACAAATCATTTTAAATACAAAAGTGTGCAGCTAGATGGTCTATAAATCAAAAGAGGATGTGCAATATGCTAATGATTATAGAAAAGTGTTCCATGAAAGAAACGGGTGTTCAAAAATTGGTAAAAAATGGTAGAAAGCTATTCCATGAGTACCGTCTAACGTTTAGAGATAGTTTCGTGAACTATGATTTGACTAGCTAGATATGTCTAAAGATGCGACAACTATTCTGACAATACAAAATTGAGCCATAAACAGGTCAAGAGATTGTTGTGTTCAAGAATTTTGATCGTCGTCACGAAGAGATCAGATGGTTGCTAAACCGATATGGCAATTTCTCCACAAACATATAAACTGTGGATTTTTTTACTTGAAATATTGTGAGCAAGTAAATAAATAAAAAAGTATCACAGGAGAAGGAGAGAGACATTATTATAATTATATATCAACTTTACATTCTCTAACAGTATTACGAACTCGAATTCTTCGTCGCTGGGCACTACGGGGGTAAACGAACTTCAGTTGTAGTTCAGTTGCCCTTATCCGAGTGCCCGCCACCTGCCGGTGCCTCGCATCTCATGCTCCCCACACGCCACCGGTGCAGGAAGAGCGGACGCTTCGCTGTCTGTATGGTGATGTGTGCGTGGCCTCTGCCTCCGCTGCTTGCCGCCGCCATGATGCACGGGCGCTCCGGCGGCTAGGGTTTCGGCCGGGGTCGAGCGAATTTGGTCGGAGAAACCATAAGACTAGCCATAGTCGGAGTAACTTCAGCAGTAACATCGAGTCCAACTCAACAAATTTGCTTATGTGGCAATGAGTCAATGAGGAGAGAGGTAGTTTGAGTAACTTAGTTAGTTACTGTAACATCACAGGTCCCAATGCAATATGAGTCTATAACCTAATAAATGAAGCTTTGCATGACAACATACTTATGTTACTACCCACTAGGAAGGTAGTAATATAGTCTAGGGATATGTATATGTTACTAGTATATGTTACTCTCCACTGTGGCTAGTCTAAGAACAAGTATAATAGTCCTATTCAGCAGGCTACAAGGGATTTCACATCAGCAAAATTCTGAGCTGGAGGAGAGTAAAGGCAAGAGAGAGAAGAGAGCGAGCGCTTCGCTAGTCGCCCAGCTGCAGCACAAGACGCGAGAAAGTTTTGCCCGCTTGCAGCCCAAAGCCAGCGACAACGCCGCTACTCCCAATCCACTGCGTCCCATCGTCCAATCAACTCCTTTTTTCTTTCTGCCCATGCATGCAAACATTGATTACCCTGACCATCCAACAGCTCGTACAAAGCCAACCTTATTATACCAGACTTTTTCTATGAAGGCTATTGCTGATATGGCACCCATATAGAGCCCGTTGCCGGCGTTTCTATTAGCCATGCTCTAAGCCACACTGATGCGCAACGATTTGGGTCTTGTTTCTTCCTAGGGTGCGTATTGGGCCTTCGATGTTTGGGTATTGGGCCTTTAGAGTTAAGCTGGCTCAAATCCCTACATCGCAGAATTCATTTTTCTTTTGAGTAAATTAGTCACCACCCCTAAAAAACCCCTCTAAAAGAGTAAATTAGTCGCCATTCACGTTGTTAAATCTTTGACGATCAAGACTAAAAAAGTAACTTTGACGATCAGCCAGCAGCATTATCAGATGTGGGCGTGTACATGTATCATGTATGTTGCACATCCGCCTAAAAAAAAGTATGTTGCACGTACATGAGCTCCCCTTTTTTTTTTCTTTTGAGTCGGAATGTATGGTTGAGTTGTTGCGTTTGCACAATGTTTGCAATCATATTTCCTCTATAACATGTACCGGCAATACACACATTATCATTTTCTAAAGGATAACATTACATGTCATGCCTCGTCAATCATCATCTTTGCTAGGAGATTGTTTAGAGATGGTCAAGGTATTTTATTGTTAAGTTGTACCTCCAAGCCTAGTAACCAAGTGCCTAGCGAATGGTGACAAAATGGTGCAAACGAAGGCTTGAAAACATTTTTTTCTTTTGGAATTGAAACGATCTACATACCCACGGACCAGAGATAAAATGGGTGTATTTGAGAATGGAATTTTATTCCATGAACGAAGGACAACGACCACGATGACTTCATTGATTCAGATGCGAAGACTGGATCCATTCAAGTAGGTAGTGGCTTAAGAGTTTTTGTAAGCTTACAAATTTTTCTTGTGTTTGGGTAAAATACATTCATATTTTCATAAAACGAATGCCCATTCGAGATATAATTAAATTTTATTTACATAAAGCATTTCTAAATAATTATGAACATTGTTTTGTTGTACGCGGACATTTTTCCTTGAAACACATGAATATTTCTCTCCAGATACTAGATTATTTAAAAAATTCATGAACATTTTTCGTGTGTGGAATGAAATTTTATTTTGATATACGTTGATTTTTTATATACACGAACATCATTATTATTAAACTGATTATATTTAGTTAGTGAAATAAATATATTCTGGAGATAAAAACAAACTAGTATATCAGTTACATTTTTTTAATCGGTATATCACACAACCTTTCCGTACATGCGAAAAGCTTCAGACGATGCGGCCCGTGTACCAAGAGCCTCCAATTTCTGTTATCTAAAAGTTCTGGCCTTCTGGGCTTGTAACCGACGTACGGGCCCAGCCAGCCCAGCCCATCAATAAACCGCTAATCCCCTTCCCCCATAGAACCCTAGTCTCGCTTGCGGTTCGAACCCCTCACGGCAGCCTCTCCTACTCCTCCCCCTCGCCGTCGCCGTCGCCTTCGTCTCCGCCTCCAACCGGCGGCCGCGCCACCGGCTCGTCTCCTCCGATGGCGGTACGATTTCGCGCTCTCTGTACCTTCTCGCCCCCATAGCCCACCTCTCCGCGCGCTGCGAGTTACCAGATAGATAGGCGGAGAACCCTAGCTAGGCTCGCGCGGTCTCGGCGCGGCGTCCTGCGGCGGACTGTTTGCTAGTATTGGTTGTGTGATGGGTCCAGTAGGTAGGCCGTTGATTCCTGAGAGCCACTGGGAGAGCGCTACGGGAGATCGAATTCGAACAGGGGTTCTCTCCCGCCCGAGGTCACCAGCCAGTAACCCCTTCCTATCTGCTATTATTCTGGTGTGAGCCAGTGATGCTTCATCTGCATGGTGTGGTGGCTGCAAACGTGGCCTGCCCGAAGCTCTGAGCGTCCTGCCGTCGAGATTGTGGGTTGTCATCAAAAAGTCTGTCCGTTTTTGTTAGGTTTTGGCGAACCATTGCTGGGTCTTTGGCTAGATGGGTCGAGATTTTGGATCTAGAAGGTCGCGACATCGTCAAGGGCAGTGAAATTGTTGCCAATGTCTCCTGCAAAGCTTCCACAGATTGGATTTGTCGTATCACTAGTTGGAAAATTCTGTATCTGCTGCTCCAAAGCAGAGCGCTGCAATTAGGCTGGGGTAGTGCTATTACTAATCCTAAATGTAAAATAATATTTTGAACTGTTCTTTTGGTCACAGCACAGAATTGTATGCGTCCGATACTTCTCTGCTGAATTCAGCATTTGGCATGAGTACCATCATGTTGGTATAAGCCTAGTGTTGTCTTACCTCTAGCCGCAACTTGTGGTAGCTGATTCAGAACTACTTCCTCCATAAACTAATATAAGAGTGTTTAGATCACTACTTTAGTGATGTAAATGCTCTTATATTAGTTTACAGAGGAAGTAGTTTTCATGAGTAAGTATGAATCGAGGATTATTTTGCGGAGGGGATTGCTGGGTTGCTGTATTTGAATTGGTCTGAATTGCTGATTTGTTTTTTATGAACCTTCCTGTTAAGGTTACTACTTAGTGCTGCTTGCTTCCTTGATTTGCATAGTGTTACTTGCTTCCTTGATTTACATTGTGTTGATTTAATGCAGTACCCGCAAGAACATCCTTATAGGGAATTCTCTTTTGTTAGGCTTCTTTAAGTTGTAGGGTTTACATGCCTGTAGTAAAATATTGCTGCAATTTCTATGCTTAGCAGCAAAATTGCCCTAACTGTATTGAACATCTTTTTACATTTCTTCGTAAAAAATGACCTTATATGTGCTGTACTGTATTACTTATTTCCTTTGATATAATTTGTTAATTGCCCATGTTTCTTTACTCTGCTGCAGACTGTGCCAGTTAACCCCAAGCCGTTCTTACAAAACTTAACAGGGAAGATGGTCATTGTCAAGCTGAAATGGGGCATGGAGTACAAAGGTACTTTAATGGCGTTTCGTCACTTGTTAGTTACAATCATTATTATTAGTTTCCTTTACAGATGTCTCATTCTTGTGCATGCCTCAATTGTGCTAATGCATAAATTGTTCCTTTTGTACCCAGGATATCTTGTTTCAGTGGACTCCTACATGAATCTGCAGGTAAAGTTCACATTGTCCGTGGCTGCCCATTTTACCTGATGGAGGAGACTCCCTGTGTTTTGTCAATTTCACCACACTATTTTGTTACTCACACTTGAAACGAATTGCAGCTAAGTGGTACCGAGGAATACATTGATGGGCAATGCTCTGGGAATTTGGGAGACATACTGATAAGGTGATTCATTCATCAATCTTTGACCACAGCTATTGTGTATCAGTAGTATATATATATATATATATATATATATATATATATATATATATATATATATATATATATATATATATTTAAAATTGCACACTAAAACTCCCATTGTCTCATTTTCTGAAGTCTGTATCTGATATTTGATGAAAGATATAAACTGTAGCACTCCTATAGCTCGACAAGTCAGAAGGGTACTGTAGATGTGGCAGTGTCATATGGTTGCTGATAAGCTTTTATTTAGTCTTACATCACATATGCGAGTTAATGGCCAGATGCCATAACTATCTGTTTTGCTGCTTGTCGTGCAGATGCAACAATGTGATGTATCTCCGAGGTGTTCCTGAGGAGGACACGGACATTCCAGATGCGGCCTGAAGAGCACATTTACTTTTCCTGGTTGATGCTTGCTGTTCAATGCTGAAAAAGAACTTCCTAGTTCGTCTCCATTTGCGCCTACTGGACTGTATTAGTACATGCATTGAACTCATGTTAACTCTAGTTCTGCATCCTGAATGAACGAATGATTAACTTGCATGTTTGAAACGGCCAATTGCTGATTGCTGATAGCTCCTGATCCTGCCGTTGGATATGCATGGTTTGCTGTCTGAATTGCAATGATCGTATTTGTGCAATTTGAACTGTATTTGCTGAGTTCCTGAGCATGGACTCAAGTCACATACCCAGCATGAAGGGATATTTCTGCTCCATTTATGTCTTTTTCTACTAGATGTTCATGTTGAGTGCCAAATTCCACAAGAGCTCTGTGTGCTGTACACTTGCACCGTTCATAGGTTGATGCATGCTCTTTACTGCTAAAGAACAGCTTCGCAGTTTGTCTCTGTTTGTGCTTGGTGACTGTATTACAGTCCAGAGGTTGAGTTCATGTTAACTGTTTTAAGGGTTGATTGACGATTGCTGGTAGGTACTGATGTGGCTGTTGGATATGTTTTGATGTTCGAAATATGATGGTTGTATTTGCGCAATTTGAACTATTTATGTCGTGGAATTGCTGACCATGGACTCAGACATATGTGTTGCATGATCGAAGACATATGCAGTGATTAACGCATGAACTTGGCTTGCGGGTTTAGTAAAGTCCAAACGGAGCTAGATTTGAACTGCATTGAACTAGCAAGCCAAGTTTGTGGATCAGACCATTGATTCTAAAGTGTAAGTTCAGGCATCGTTCGGTTTCTATGCTATCCTAGCTCTATGCATGAGCTTTCCGAGATAAAGAAAAACAAGCAATGAATCATGAATCGTGGATGGAAGAGACCGCCAGAGGATTATGCCATGTTGAATGTTGACACAACCTTCTCTATTGATGATGAATAAGGAGCCATGGATGCCAGTCGGGTGGCAACCTGACGGCCAACGCTAAAGGGGCATGCCTTGCTTGGTCAGAAGATGATGGAAGCCGAAGATCTCCTTCCCCTTTGTTGAGCGTTCCTGATCTTTGATGTCGAAATCCCTAATGTTCTGGTTGTGGGTATGTTGTGGTGTCTTTGTGTTGTTGTGTTTGTGCGGTTGTGTGCTCTGCCTGAGCATTGCAATGTGTTCTTCTTCACCATCATTGTAGTGCAACGCTCGTTGCTTTCGTCCAAAAAATTGTGCAATGTCGTTTTGTGGACATGGCCCTCTACAGTTGAGGCCCAGGTCTTGCAGCTTCCTTTCATGCAAGGGTTTTGCTAATGTCAATTTTGATCAATCTGATTATATCAGGGTGCCGTGGTGGCAACCATGAAAGATGAAGGCAGTTCCATAGGCGCCGCGCCGGCTAATAGAAATGCTCCTTTTTATGCAGGGATTTTGCTAATGTCAATTTTGACCATTATCCTGAGAAAGCCAACAAGATTGCACATATCCTAACTTGTAATTTTGCCGGGACGCGTACCAATCCATTTTCCAATTATGTTCTTTTGGTTAATCGGATTGCAACTCTGAACTCTCAAAAAACGGCCAATGTTAATTTGGTTGGGTTTGACCCGAGATGGCGTTGGCGGGTACGGCGTGAAAGCTGGAGGTGGGCACTGAATGGTTTCGAGAACTAGAGGCTGTAAATTGGAACATTTTGAAGTGTAAGGTTGAAAAATTGGATCATTCCCTAGATTTTACACAGGCCAAACCCCACAGGACAGGGCGCATTTTGAGGCTCGTCCAACCAACTAAAAGTAGCCTTATTACAATAACTGAAAATTGCTAGCACATGACGATTACAAGAATGAAAACAATGCTTGAAAATGGCATTCCAATCAAAGTACCTAAGCCCACACATTCTGCAAAAATTGTTGTTGCCACATCCCACCATCTAGCTTGCCCAGTGCACAAAATTATGGATGGTAAGGAATCCGACTACGCCTCGAGCCAATTAAACCCAAGAGAGTTAGCAAGGGCAAGTCCATCTCTCATGGCCATCGCTTCTGTAGTGATCACGTCAGCTGCATAAAACTTACCCCTGTCATCTCTTATTACAGCAGCAGTCACACCCACCCCTTCATCAGGAAAGAACGCAACTTCAACACTTCGGTAAATCAAGTTGAAAAATACAGTGACTAACACGAACTTGGCTTGCGGATTTTGTAAGTCCAAACCGAACCATATTTGGATTGCTAGTGTCAATTTTGGCCATTATCCTAGGAAAGGCAACAAGATGTCGCATATCCTAGCTTGTAATTTTGCCGGTACGGGTGCCAATCCCTTTTCCAATTCTGTTCGTTTGGTCAAGTTATTAATGGATTGCAACTTTGAACTCTCAAAATTTGGCCAGTGTTACTTTGATTGGGTTTGACACGAGATGGGGTCGGCGGGTACAACGTGAAAACTGGAGGGGGACATTGAATGGTGTTGAGAACTAGAGGCTGTAAATCGAGCCATTTTGAAGTCTAATAAGGATGAAAAGTTGGATAATCCCCTAGATTTTACACAGGCCAGAACCCACAGGGCAGGCATTTTGAATCATAACAAATCTCACAAAATTTTGTAGGAAATAATTAAAATCTAAGAAAAAAAATCCGAGTTCCGAATGAGTGCAAGCTAATGAAGACCAAAATTTATCGAGGCTTTCCGACCGATCTCATCTAATCTGCGACCTACAAGTGCGCCAGCAGGCACGCCATCCCCAGCGCCACGCCGGCGGCGGACCACCAGTCCATCATGGCCTGCAGCGCGTGGCCCTGCGACGGCGCCGGCGCGGACGCCGGGGTCTCCTCCATGGGCTCCTCAATGGGCATGGTCACGGGCGGGCACGGGAGCGACGACGGGGACGGCGACGCCGACGGGGACCTCACCGGCGCGGGGCTGGGCGCGACGGCCGACACGGAGCTCATCATCTTGGGCGGCGGCGGGGCGCGCGGCTTGGTGATGACCCCGGGCGGCACGACGAAGTTGCTGATCTGGAGGACGGAGATGTTGTAGGGCCTGGCGGTGACGGCCTTCTTGAAGGTGGCGTTGACGATCGCGCCGGGGGCCGCCGAGGCGAAGACGGCGCCGCCGTCGGGCGCGGGGGTGATGGTGAGGAAGCCGGACTTGTCGCCGTTGGCGGGGCCGAAGGTCTGGTAGAGCGTGGTGGCGACGATGGGCTTGGCGCCGCGGCCGCGGGGCAGGGCGGCGAGCTTGGCGGCGTCGTAGTAGTCGAGGACGACGTGGACGGAGAGGAGCTCGAGGAGGGCGGCGCGGGGCAGGCGCGCGCTGCGGCGGAGAAGCCAGTCGACGTCGGCGTTGACGGGGGCGAGCACGGTGACGGAGTTGCGGCTGTTGATGTCCTTGGCCACGCGCGTCTTGCTGATGAGGTAGTTGAAGAGGGTGAACTCCGGGAACTTGGCCAGGATCTCCGAGACGTTGAAGCCGCCCCCGCCCCCGCCGCCCGGGGGCGTGTCGGCGGCGACGTTGTTGGCGCCGGCGTTGCCGGCCGCCGGGAGGAGGAGGACGAGGAGCACCAGCAAGGAGAGCTTCGGGGGCGCCATGTGTGCGTGCGGCTAGTGGATGTGGACGTCGATGGCGATGGCGAGCTTGATCTCTGAGTGAGTGTAGGGGTGTGGAGTGTCAGTGTATATATAGGAGAGTGGGTGAGGAGACGGTCATGGCGGGAGGAGAGTGATCGGTGGATCGATCGAGGAAGAAAGGGTTTGGCAGTTGGGGGAGATCTGATCGGCCGGGCTTCGATCTGACCACTTCTCGTGGCGCGCGCGGCCGTGCATGCATGCATGCATGCACGCCGCGTTCGTATCGCGCGCGTTGAATCTAGGGGCGGGCTGGGGTTGACCGTCCGATGCGGATCCGATGGCCGGGCGTTGTCCGCTTCAGATCCTGCCTGCCTTCTTGTTCTTGGGCCTCGCTGGCCGTTGCCAGTGTCAACCTTGTACGTGGGCTATGCTATGCATCAGATAAGTGTTGTCACGTACTACTACCACTGTAAATTAATATAAGATCTTTTATATCACTATTTTTTTGCTGTTCTGATCCGAGCTCATATGAGCTTGGGTGAATAGTAAAATTAAAATAAATGTAAAAAAGTTAAAAAAATCTTTTTTATGCCAAACATTTACAAATGTTTTGATTGTTTGCGAAGTGTGATCACTGGAATGGATGATCTTCGTAGAAAACATGGCAAAAAAACAGGTACTCCAAAAAGCATCTTGGAGCATCGATTTTTTTTTTGCCACGATTTCCATGAATGTCACCCGATGATAAAATTTTGCAACCAATCGAAACGTTTAGCAATGTTTGGCACAAAAAAAGTTAGGTCTTTTTTTATTTTACTGGCCACCCGAGCTCGGGATCAGAACAACACTTTTCGTGTATACATAAATATATACGGTCATACGGATAATGTTTGCTTTGATACGTGAACCCTACCCCAGTAATTATGAAGTTTAATAGAGGGGGAAAAGAGGGAATTAAATAATTCTGGTTTAAATCTGTTATTTCTAAAATTAAAATCGCACTATACATTATGTTGGGCCACATCATCTATTTGCTCAATTACAGGGTGCTCCCAAAGCACTTGAGACTCGCCTACCAGCAAATCTTCCGTAGTGGGGTATCATTGCAAGGATCTTGTGGTGTGGCTTTAGGGGGATTTAAATTGTCTCTTATATAAGTATAGAGATATGATACAACTATTGTAGAAATATATTGCGGTGTCATGCACATGTGGGGAAGGGGGACTAATGCCCCCCCCCCCTAGGGGAGCAGGCCAAGCCTCCGTAATTTTGAATTAACCATTCATCCATGGTTGAAGTAACTGCAGAGATGTTCACTCTTACCATTTTTCATGGCGCAAGCATGGACGATGCATTTCACCTTGAGCAGTGGCGAGTCTAGTAGCTAGGCTTAAACAGGCTCTAGCCTACCCTCCAAAAAATTGAATTATTTTA